AGGGATCAAACCTGCAACCGAGGCATGTGCCCTTGACCAGAAATCGCACCGGAGACCCTTTGGTCCCTGAGTGACACTAACCACTGAGCACAGGCCAGGGCCCTAGCAGACTTCTTGGCACACGCTGGTTGTGCGAGCCGTCTTCCCTCACTGTCACCTGGTTCCTGCCATCTGCATCCCGTCCAGCCTCCAGCAGCACCGCCCATGAGGGGCGAGGGGCGAGGGGCGAGGGGGGGAGCCTCTGTCGGCTCTAGGCCCAGCTGACTCACAAGTGCTGGCCGTGCAGCTGGTGGGGCGACCGCCAGGAACCAGCCTGCTGCCCAGCATGCGCCCAGACGGGAAAGCACAGGTGACCCCAGCGACAACGCACAGGAGACAGGAATGGAGAGAAAACGCACATTTTCTGAGTGCTTTCGTCAGGTTTGTTTCATTGTTTTGAACACTAAGATTTATTTTCAAACAGCACACAGACGGTCTGCGGGGCAGGGCGAGGCCAGACAGGTCTGGGTCCCAAGGTGTCTGGGAGACTGGACCCCACCCACAGCAGCGGCAGGAAAGGAGGACCCTTGCCCAGTGGCTCAGCCAAAGCTTCAGGCAAGCGCGGCGGCTCTGCAGCCCCAGGCCCACCCTGGGCCGGGTACGTGGCGGTTGCGGACCCCAAAGGGCGCTGCGGGTGGCGGCAGCCAGAACTCAACTAGGGGCACAGCAGCGCCGGACAATGGCGACTCAGCCCAACCTGCCGGAGCCGGCTCTTCGGAAAACCACCTCCTTTGGGAGACACCTCGTGGCTCAGGTCTCTCCTCTCGATTTCCCTTTGCTTTCCAAAAAGTCCAAAAAAAAAACAAAGAAAAAAACACACATTTTGGGGAGAAGGTGTTCTTCACACACCAGAGAGCCGCACCACGGCCCTGCTGCCCTCACTGAACCCGCTCCGTGAAGTTCTCGGGGAAGACGCCCTGGCACTTGTCCAGCTCCTTGTGCTGGTTCCAGTCGCTCTCCTTCACGCCCATGAGCCAGCCTTCATCCTGAGGGAGCAGAGCGCAGGCTGAGCGAGTGGCCACGGAGGGCTGCCCGCACCTAAAGGGTGTGTGTGTTTGGGGATCTGCTGGGAAAATGTCCCCTCCTCTAGCCTGTCCACCCTTGAAAGAACGCCTCCTCCAAGCAGCCTCCCCTGCTAACCTCCCCAGCCCCAAGCCTAGCTGCCCAGGACCGTCCGCCCTTCAGCAGGTGGGTTAACTATGTCATCTGGCGAGGCCTCGTCCCCCTGGAAGGCAGCCTGACCCTGGCCCTGCTCTGGACGTGTCTGAACAGCCCTCAGTCCCAGCCAGGAGCTCCCCACCATCCGGGGACATCACCACCCTCCCAGACCTCCCTGAACAGCTCCAGGACACTCCGCTGAGCTGGCCCAGGAACAGCTTCCAGAGTGACCTGAGGCCATCCCACCAGCCTCTGTCCTAGTCCTGGTCCCTCCCAGGTCATGACCCCTCCCAGACCCCAGACCCTGACCCCTCCCAGACCCCAGACCCTGACCCGTCCCAGGTCCCGACCCCTCCCAGGCCCTGACAGCCTCCCGGGCCCCAGACCCTAACCTCTCCCAGGCCCTGACCCCTCCCAGGCCCTGACCCCTCCCAGACCCCAGGCCCTGACCCCTCCCAGGTCCCGACCCCTCCCAGGCCCTGACCCCTCCCAGACCCCAGACCCTGACCCCTCCCAGGCCCTGACAGCCTCCCGGACCCCAGACCCTGGCCCCAGGCCTGTGGCTGAGCCTTCACTGCCCTGCGGCTGAGCTACACCTGGTGCCCACCTACATCCTTCTCGTTTCACTCTGCCATTTGTCCGATCTGAGCCACTTCTATTGGCCCCGATGACCAGGCAAGGGCCAGAGGCCAGGATTCTGCTTCTGAAAACCCCACCCAGCCCAGGGCTGGCCCACAAGGGAGACCTGAGGTTCAGGAGAATCAGCTGATCCGGCACCGCCCCAGGCCCTAACCTCTCCCAGGCCCTGATCCCTCCCAGACCCTAACCTCTCCCAGGCCCTGACCCCTCCCAGGTCCTGACCCCTCCCAGACCCCAGGCCCTGACCCCTCCCAGGCCCTGACAGCCTCCCGGGCCCCAGGCCCTAACCTCTCCCAGGCCCTGATCCCTCCCAGACCCTAACCTCTCCCAGGCCCTGACCCCTCCCAGGTCCTGACCCCTCCCAGACCCCAGGCCCTGACCCCTCCCAGGCCCTGACAGCCTCCCGGACCCCAGACCCTGGCCCCAGGCCTGTGGCTGAGCCTTCACTGCCCTGCGGCTGAGCTACACCTGGTGCCCACCTACATCCTTCTCGTTTCACTCTGCCATTTGTCCGATCTGAGCCACTTCTATTGGCCCCGATGACCAGGCAAGGGCCAGAGGCCAGGATTCTGCTTCTGAAAACCCCACCCAGCCCAGGGCTGGCCCACAAGGGAGACCTGAGGTTCAGGAGAATCAGCTGATCCGGCACCAGGCCCGGGAAACCCTCTTACTCACTCCCAGCCCAGTGTGGCTCAGTCAGTGCCTGGCGCCCTAGAGCCCCGCCCAGGACCCCACCCAAGTTGGCCTCCTTCCAAACCAGCCCTCCTCCCACCCTCAGCCACCCGTCAATTAAACCCCAGGGACGTGCTGATGACAGGCAGACACGGAGAAGCCACGCAGGAGGCGGCTCTGACAGGCATTGGGGTGGGAAACGCTGAGGCACGGCGGGTGCTCAGGGTTCCTGCAGAGACCACTCACTGCCCTGTGGGCCCCTGGGTCCCCTGTGGATGGGTGCGGGCCAGCCTGGGGGGGCGGCACGCAGGGCCACCGGCAGGCCACAGAGAGGGCGGGCCCCTTAGAGGCAGGAAGCAGAGCAGGCGGGTTCATGGAGGGACGGCCAGGGGCCCAGCCTGGGAGGAGGGAGAACGCGGTGCAGGGCAGGGCAGGGAAGCGGCAGGGCAGAGGAGCCTGGAGAAGGAAGCCTAGAGAAGGGAAGTCTCAAAAAGGAAGCCTGCAGAGAGCTGAGAGGCAGATGGAGCCTCAGGGAGACAAGGAGGCGCCGGAGGAGCAGGTGTGCGAGGAAAAGAGTGAGGACAAAGGAGAGACAAAGATGTGGCCACATGGGGGACCGGACGGACGGGAGGGAAGGAACAAAGGAAGGGAGCAAGGCAGGGGAGGGGGAGTGATGAGGACAGGTGAGGATGGGGAGCCCGCCCGGCCGAACCCCGGCCCACCTGCTCCTCAGGGTTCTGGAAGGGGATCACCAGCACCACGTCCCCCGCCTTGAGCTGCAGCTCGTCTGTGTCTGTGGCCGCGTAGTCATGCTGGGCCTGCACCTGCAGGGGATGGCGGGAAGCTGCACACCCTCTCGCGAAGGCCC